ATGAAAACTCTGAAACTAAATTAAGATTGGAGGAAAATATATATTCATGCACACTGTAAAAAGGTTGCAGCCATCTTCACAGGTTTGGCTTGCTCCAGCGCCCCCCTACCGCCGCCTTCTGCTCCAGCGCCCCCACGCCGCCCGTTTTCGTTCTACCGCCCCCCTGAAAAATGAAATCGCCCCCTGGGGGTCATTATCGCCCACGTTAAGAACCATTGCTCTATAGACTGGAATTCCACTGATATATAATTAGAGACCATTTTGTTGAGTGACTGTCTCAAAAATTAACATTCTACCAGTGCCAGCTTTCCAACTGTCTTTTTGCCATCTCCCTCTCTGGAATTATAGCAGAATTTTAGTGTATCAGTCACATAACAAGACAAGTTAGCTTCACAGTAACATTGAGTTCCTTAGATCTTGGTCAACTGCCAGTTGAAAGCCACATACACCTACTATCTTACTCCCCCAGTTTATAGTCAAAATTGTCAGTTTTCTTCAACTTGTAAACCATTCATGTATCAAATAGTTCTTTACACTGAAAGCACTTATTATTTAACATTTTGGCAAATGTAACTTTTTACCCATAATATATATGTATCAAATATGAGCATGTGGCATGGATACAGAATTTGTCAGCAAATGCTACTAACATGCACCTGGTGCTTTAGAACCTCTGAAAAGATAGTAATACTTGACATCATGTCTTTGTAATGAAGGTATGTACAATAGTACTAATGTGTATCCATTATGTGCTTTGTTTTTTGCTTTGTTTAGGAATTGCTTCCTAAAAATGTCAATCACAGTTGGATTGAACGGGTATTTGGAAAATGTGGCAATGTAGTTTATATCAGCATCCCTCGCTACAAGACTACTAGAGATCCAAAGGGATTTGCATTTGTCGAATTTGAAACAAAAGAACAAGCTGAAAAGGCAATTGAGGTCAGTTATGGATGATGTAAAAGGCTGCTTTTATTTCATCACTATGCATGTTTTTACTTCTGTAGCAGTACTGTTTCTAATGTCTATGTATTTATTTATTTAAAACATTTTCTCCCACCTTTCTCCTTAAAAAGAAACCAATGTAGCTATACAAAACTTTGACTTCTATAACATTACTATTTTAAAACCACTTTGCAGTTAGGTGTGAGTTCTATTGTGGTTGTTGATAATTAACATAATTAATAATTAATAACATAATTCAGTGTGATTGAGTGAATTTGGAAGTTATTTGGAGAAGTATCCAATGTACACATTAAAAATGTTCTAGCAATGTGCAGTAAACTGGGCAACAATCTGTACTTTCTTAATGTGAAGAGATGTTGAACTGTGTTACACAGCACTTTTCTCCTTACTGCTGCTAACTATCTCATCTCTTGATCAGTTTATTGTAAACCAGCATGCTTTCCAAAGATTGTTTAGGAAGATTTACTAAATACATGCCCCACTAAATTCAATGATATTTACCCATTCAGTAGGTATAGCTCTGAATCTTGAATCTTTTCTCAAACTTATAAATTATTTAAATTCAGCAAGCCTTCAAGATAAATGCACATTTGCTTCATTATCTTGATTTACTCCCACTGAAAAATTTGGATTTTATTTATATTTCTCAGAGAATGTGCCCAAAGGTAGAAGTGGAGCAGGAGGTAACCTTTGCCGATTTCCCTCCTCTCCCTTTGGCCCACTATACTCCAAAGTCTGTTCTGGAGGGATAGACCTGATGCAACAATGTGAGAATGGCTCTAGTGACTTTCTGGGGGGAGAATTAACTAATTGTATCCCTGTCCCCTCTTTGGGAACTTCTACTGAAGGAAAACCTGTTCCATGAAAGGAAGCAGTTTTTCCATTAATGAAATGCCAAGTGCGCGGGCAAGCAGTTCATTTTGCACACTTGCATTTTTCCTGTGTCCCACCACAATATTCTTCTCAGCCATCTCTTGATGTTTCATGTAACTAATTCTAGATTTGATGTTTTATAGAGGCATTCAAGCTTTCATGGAGTCCAGTAGAATTTTGCTTGGTTAACGACTCAAAGCTTTTATTTTATTTTTGCATTTAAGTTCTTGAATAATCCACCAGAAGATGCACCAAGAAAGCCTGGTATATTCCCCAAAACTGTAAAAAACAAAACTGTTCCTACATTGCCTACAAGTGACTCCAGTGTGGTTGGTATGTAACAATTAGATTTACTTCTGCTCATGGACTCAAATGATGCATTTTAAATCATTGTTGGAAAGTGGCCATTGGTTTTTAATTTCAGCTCTGGAGACGAGGGTTCACATCCCCACTTGGCTATGGAGACTCACTCGGGGATGGAACTGGTAAAACCTCTCCTTAACTGTCTCACACTTACCTTGAACGCCCTATTTAGATACATAACCATAAGTCAGTTCTGATGTGCAACGAGGAGATGCTTTGAATGGAGTTTGAATATTAGTCAAGAAGACCATTCATAAAATACTCACCTTGTTCAGTGAATGTATTGACAAGGGTTATCCTGACTCAGTTAAATCAACTACTAACACTTAATGTACCTACAGCTATCCTTGCATCTGCATGTTTGCCTATAATGGAAGAAGCCTCTTGTACATCCTTCTAGCAGATGTATGTTTGTACAACTCCTCCCCCAGAGCGAGAACTTTACTGGGTAGGATTCCCATCTACATTTAGTACCAATAATCATCTGAAGCCATGTAGGCATCCTTTCACTTGAATACTAAAGATGCATTTGGTGTTAGAGGAGTATCTGAAGTATTCCATTCTGCTCTTATGCTTTCATGAAGCACATAAAAATTATTTTGAAATTCTGTCTGCTGTCTTTCCTATTTCCTTTTTCTGAGCACTCTCCTTTAATCAAAGTGGTGGTATGCAGCACAGTTTATAAGCCACTATTGTAAAAGTCTTAGTCTTTTTAACAATGATGTTAAACAGTTAATATAAGTAGGCCGATTTGAATAATTTGTCCATTATAACCATAGAAATATATAGTGCGACAAAGGATTTTAATGACAAATTCTTGAAGAGCCATCTTAATTGTTTGCAGCCATATCAGGTTAGTTGTAGCATGTTTTCACAGGATCACATCTGCTTCATCAGATGCATGCAATGTTTGTCTAGTCTAATTATTGGGACAGCAATACCTGACCTCAGTAAAAATACCTTAATTTTTTTCAGTTATCTTTACTGGCTTACCAACTTCTAATGTCTTTTAGTTAGACAAGTCTTCTTAATCAGTATGGTACAAAGGAGGGTTTGTTAGATTGTATTGAAATTCCACTTAACTTCGAAGCTCAGTGGCTCTTCTTGGGCCTGTGGTGTAGTCTGTCATATTCTCCCTCACACAAGGGGTTGTGAAGATAAAATATTGGGAGGGGAAAAGGCAGTTAGCTATCTTGAATTTCCTGGGATTTACAGTGCAATAACGATAAAAAGAATGAAGCAAAACCTTGTTTTATTTGTCTAGAAGAAAAAAAGAAAAAAAAGAAGAAGAAATCAAAAACAAAGAAGGAAAACAGTCAGCAGTCATCTGCAGAAACAAAGGACTCAAATGCGGACATTATGGCAGAGCACACAAGTAAGTCAAGGAGACGCAGGACTGTGTCTGAAAATTCCGAGATGGAATTATCAGAAATCCAAAGACAATCTTCAAAGAAAGAGAAAAAGAAGCTTGATAGAACAGAGCGCTCAAATTCAGCAGAAAACAGACATGGAAAAAGGAAGCGAAGTCACTCTGGGGATTCTGAGGTGTCAATTGTGAAAGTAAAGAAAACTTCTCATAAAGATAACGTTCATTCTACAAAAGAAGAATCAGTAGAAGGGCCAGAGGATTCTAAAGGTAAGAATTGAATCACTTATTTAAAAACAATCCACTTAGTTTTTGATCAGTGATGGAAGTCACATTCAGCAGATGAAAAATTACGACACAATATACAGTTAGATACCATCTTTCCTCTCTGATGTACAAATAAAATACAAATAAAATAAAAGGGGGTGTGGGGCTTCGTGTCATCAATATGCCGATGACACCCAGCTCTACATTTCCTTTTCACCAACTGCAGGTGATGCCGTCCTGTCCCTACAGCGCTGCCTGGGGGCCGTACTGAAATGGATGCAGGAAAATGGGCTGAGGCTGAATCCAGACAAGACGGAGGTTCTGAGGGTGGGTGGCCCCGTTTTTGGTGGCTTGGGTGACTAATGTTTGGGGGGTGACCCTGGCCATGAAGAGTGGGGTCCGCAGCCTGGGCGTACATCTGGCCCCGACACTCACCATGGAAACGCAGGTGGCATCGGTAGTCCGCACCGCCTTTTTCCACCTCTGGCGGATTGCCTGGCTGCGGCCTTATCTCAACACAGGGGCACTCACTACCTTGGTGCATGCGCTCGTAATCTCAAGATTAGACCACTATAATGCACTTTATGTGGGGCTGCCTTTGAGGCTGATGCGGAAACTTCAGGTGGTGCAGAATGTGGCGGCCAGACTCCTCACTGGAGTGA